TGGATTTTCTCTAATTTCTTGTTTCAATGTTTCAATTTTAGTCATTGCATTCTTTTTTGTGCTGAAATAAATACTTTATTAAACGAATAATTACAAACAAAATACCAGTAGAACCAGTAACAACAATGGTAACCAAAATATTAAACGAGAAAGTGGCTCAAGCACTACAAAAAAATAAAAGAGTAAAGAAATGCACAAAGTAGAGACAGTTTTAGGAAGGAGAGACACAACAACAGGATTTTTTAAATAAAATTAGAGAAGTTGTACAAATTTCACAATATTGGAAAATCACTTTTTTAATACCTTCTTCTTCCAACCTGCTTAATCTACGGACTCTGCGTTGGATGATATAAATAGGCTTATCTCAAAGTCAATGGAAGACAAAGAGATAGCAATGGCTGCTTTTTTAGATATAGAAGGGGCATTTAATAATGTTACCACCAGCTCTTTGATAGGAGCTATGAGGCGCACCTGCGGTAATATGCAGATGGATAAGGGCATCCCTGGAGAGTAGGACAGTAATGTCCACTCTGGGTAAAGCAACCATCAAAGCAAAAGTAGGTAAAGGCTATCCACAAGGAGGAGTTCTGCCCCTCTACTTTGGGCAACCTTGGTAGATGATCTCCTCAGAAATCTGTCCACAGAAGGCTTTTATTGTCTAGGATATGGCGACGATATAGCAATCGTTGTCAGGGGAGGTTTGCTCAGGTGGTGTCTGAGAGAATGCAAGCAGCCCTAAATATAGTTGACGACTGGTGTAAACAAGAGAAACTGATAGTCAATGCTCAGAAAACACAAATCATCCACTTCACCAAAAAAACAGCACTACAAGGCCTAAGACCACCGGTGCTGGGAAGAACAGAGATTTCATTTGCCAAAGAAACAAAATACCTTGGGGTATATTTTGATCATAGGCTTACATGGAATACTCACATCCTGAAAGCCACACAGAAAGCTACTATGTCCTTGGGCAAATGTGGAAGAATGTGCGGTAAGAATTGGGGACTTAACTTCAAAATGATTCTATGGTTATACGCAAGGGTTATTAGACCCATGATAACCTATGGCTTGTTGACGTGGTGGACAAAGAGGCAGCAAGTGGAGGCAATAAGGCTGCTAGGTAATACACAAAGGCTAGCATGCCTGTGTATTACAGGGGCCATAAAAACAACTCCTACTGCATCGTTGGAAGTCCTGCTGAATCTACCATCACTTCATATCTTTATACATGGTGAAGCCAGATCAGTGATGCACACATTAATCCATAGTCAGCGACATATAAGCCAGATGCATGGTCTGACAACAGAAAGTTAATCGAGGAGCTAAAAGCCAATATTGTGATGGGGAAAAATATCGATGCAACAGCTACGAGATATAGCTTTAACAATAAGTTCACAATTAAGATACCAGGCAAGGAAGACTGGAATAAAGGTGTACCCATACAAGCTGCTGCTACCTGGTACATGGATGGCTCAAAAACATCGGAAGGTGTGGGAGTCGGCATAGTAGGGACAAA